AAAGGGCTGTTCATCATTAATCAGAAGAAGGTTTGAGTGAGAAATCAAGATCAGGTAATGGAGTTGGATGAACTCAGGATAACCTGAGTGGAAAAATATTTCCCATCCAATTGCTGGGACAAATGAGTTTTTGTAAAAACTATAAGGCTCCTTTGATTAATATATTAACTAACATTGATGTTTCTGCTATTAAGACAGTTCAGGGTCAGTTCATCAGGTAATAACCAGTTTGATAAAGTGAATGGTTTAAACCTGAGGGTAACATTTGATCATGTGATAAAATTTTTTGGTTGAGGGTTAGTCCTGAGAAGGACTGTTGTCATTAGTGGCTACTGACGCCATACAGATAACTTGTTCACCACAGCTACATCACATCTTATAGCCAGTGACATCAAGGCTAAACTGACCAATCAGTTTACACAACTGGACTTATGACACTAGACTGACAACAACTCTTCACTTGACTCTGATGATGACTTCTGACAAAATGTCAGTCACCACTACTGACAACAGTCCTTTGTAACTTCTCAAAGTTTGATAAATTAAAAATTGAGCTTTCCTCTATTTGGAGAAAACTTAGAATCACTCTTGAGAACCATTTCTTCATTTATTTGGCATGTAATCAAAGTCTCTACTTTAGGCTGTCATGATTTACATTTGCTCTGTGAGATAATCTTTGGTTTTGTTTCTCTTTTATTTAGTATAAACCAGGAAATGTCTTTGGGATGGTTTGTCCTTGTTGTAGAGGCACAATTTGGTGTTCCACTTCCCTCATTTTTTTTTTTGTCTTGCCAAATTCTTTAATCACTCCTGCTATCTATCTCTTTTTCTCTCTGATCTGTACCTCTTGGCAAGGAGGCGCTTTTCATTGGCAATTCTTGCCCTGAAAAATAACCATAAATATCATAAAATCACAAAAATAGAATCAAGAAATAACACTTTAAACTCTGCAGGTAACATAGTTTCCATCCACATATGTGAAGTACAGCAATAATTTTTGAGGTAAGTGTTTTAACCCTAACCAAGGTACAAACTGCAAAAATTAATGGCACATTTTTTATGAAAAAACTGCAGAGACCATACCTTGATTTGTGGTTAGTTGGGAAATATATAATAGCAATCAGAATTAAAATAATATTACAAGACATGCCCTCATTTGAGTAGCACATTATAAAATTGTTATTGTCTGGTCACCTTGGAAAGAGTGAAAACTTTTTTTCTAAATTTATTTCAAGCAATCACTTGATATTCACAGTGAAACTGGAATCATCAGAACACCCATTTGGCCCTCACTTAAAATATCTTACATTTCCAGTCTTTGGTTAATTGAAACCTTTTACTATATCAGGAGTGAAATTAAAAAAAAAAGACACTTCTTTGTAAGGAATTGGCCCAATGCAAATGAGTAGTATGCTCAGCCTTGCTTTACACCTGTTCCTGTTTCCCCTCAATGCACTTATAGCTGAAAACTTACATTCAAAAACTTTGGAATGGTGCAGATTTTGTGTAGCCCATGGGATAGCTTGTCCTCATATCAGCTGCCTTTGTCAAGAAACAATAACTGTTAGAAATATGATTAAAACAGTATTATCTTACAGTTTCTTTACTCTGGCCTTTTTCTCCAGTGTGGTTTCTTTTGGAATATAAGACGCTTCCTTAATGATCATTTCCACTTTCTCAATGGCATCCTCCAAGTTCTTCTGCTGGCTGCGGTATTTCATTGAGCTGAGAAATAATTCACCATTTTTGTTGATTCTATTCCTCTCCTGTAAGTTTTAGAGAAAGAAGAGGTTTTTTTGTTCAGTCAATAGTGATGGCTCACATTGCAAAGAGTACACAAAATGCCACTCTGAACATGGTGTCCAGGAGATAAAATGCAAATTACCTTTATTGTTGCAAAAAAAATGTTTCTCTTAGTTTAAAAAGTGGCAAGCAAAGACTTAGTGGATTCTGAGGAAATAGCAATTTATAGGCTGAAATGCCAAAAGCAATAGTTTCAGTTTCCACTCTTCAACATTCCTCAGCCATAGTCTATACAAATGCTAGCAAACTGTTTTTGATTTAACAAGGGACTTTCACAACCATACCTTTTCCAAGATCTTGTGTCTAACATCCTCTGGAATCCATTCAGCACTTAAAACGTGAAAGCGTAAATCCACTTTGGTATTTACTTAAAAATGAAGAAATTAAAGTCATATTAGTTTTTACAACCAAAGTACCAAACCAAGAAATAATGGGACCAAATATTCCTTCTAGCCTTTGATTTTGGATGAATATGGATGCAATAGCCACTACACTGATAACTATTCAGGAATACACCAGGAGGAACGATGCTCAGGAAATGTATAATAGATGCTTAAGTTTAGGGCAGATAAGATGTCTCTCTGGAAATCTGATAGGTCTTAAAAAAGTGCTCTCTCAGTTATGAGTAGCAGTAAACCCTTAGTTATGAGTGGCAGTAAATATGTACTTTTGAATATTTTTTCCCACTACATGTATGTTTAGGTAATAAAAAATCCCTCTTGAAGGTCCTTGAATCCAAAAACTAAAGCAATAGAAATCAAACTCAACCTTAATTAAAGGGGTAAGTTTCTAAAGAAACTGTGGTGCTGCGTCGGTGGGAGAGTATAGCAGGTAATTTAGTGTTAACAACTGGGTTGAAAATGTAAATTAGCCACCGTAAAGGATAAAAAAGGTGACGTTTCGAGCGTTAGCCCTTTTTCAGAGGGGCTAACGCTTGAAATGTCAGCTTTTTTACCCTTTACGGTGGCTAATTTACATTTTCAACCCAGTTGTTAACACTAAATTATCAACCTTAATTATGCTATTTGACAAAACTTCACCAAACCTTTGTTCACATTCTGTCCACCTGGCCCAGAACTTCTTGCAAATTTTACACTCAACTTGTCTACCAATAAGAAACAAGCAGTAGTCTAAGAAATTATACCCCTATATATTTCAAAAGCATGCCCTTGTAGTTAATTTCATAATTTGGATGTCAAGGCTAATTTTGACACAAATAACAAACACTTGCTTTTTCTTGCATTACAGTACAGAAGACAAAGCTTCCCTGTTACACCCAGAGGTGATTAGTATGTAATTTCTGCCTATAATATCCATATGTTAATCCAGCAAACTGGTAATAGGAATATTCAAACTTATCTGATTAGGTAGAAGTTGTTATCTTCATCTAAAACCAAATTATTGTAACCTATTTACAAGGCAATAGGTAGCAGCTTGAGGGGAAGATTAATGACAAGATCTTGAAAGTTACAAGGTTGAAAAAATTAATTTTCAGGTTTATTGGCTGAGTTTGAGGGAAACCTTGATCTTTTGGAAATAAACTTGAGAGAATTACTATCTCTGAGAGGTTAGATCAAGCTTGCCTAGAGCCCCTTCCTGTTTTTTCTCTTTTAGGACTTTCATCTAAACTTCGTGTGGAACAATCTTGTATTTTTCCAGAGTGTCTCAGTCCTGGCCTGGCTTTGGAGTATTATCCTCTGGTATGCCTTAAAGTATCAGTGTTCACAGTAATACATTGGTCTTACCCAATGGAATCTTTCCTTTATAGTCTAGGTATGTACCCCCATCTCTGTCATCCTATTCAAAAATCAAGTCATGAGGAGGTTAAAGAACACAAGTCAACTACCATGGAATCCTAGGTATACAAATGTTCGGTATAACCCCAAATTTACAAATGCAGAGAGCCATGTGAAAAAATAAAACAAAGGCGAAAAAAAATAGTTCACCTTTCCAATTACTTCTCTGTTTTTGAATTTTATAGGATTCAAAGAAAAACTTTCCACAAATACCATACAATAAACATGAAATTACTTTTCACTAAAAAACAAGAAACCTTTGATTACATCATAAAAAAATCTTCCAAGGTACATCGATTGAACAATTTACATTATTTTCGTTAAGTTTAATTCAATTCTATAACTCCCAGAAGTGATTAACAAGTAACTTCTCCTTAGATTATCCATACATAATCCAACAAACAAGTAGTAGGAATACTCAAACTTAACAGGTAGAAGTTATCTTGATCTAACACCAAGTTCTCGTAAATAAGTTACAGGGAGATGTTTAACAGCAAGAAGAGAGAATCAAAGATCAGATCTTGAGAGTTAAGGGGTTGAAAGTGTAGTGACAGCCATGTGACGTGGACTGAACATGTTCACTGAATTTAATTTTCGTTACCTTGTTGTCGCTGCTATTCAATTTAACTGGCGAATTCCAAAAATACAGCACTCTAGAGTCCTTCGGTCTTGTCAATAACGAGCTTCTAATCGTTAAAAGAGAAGAAACTGATCGATGAAAGTTGCGTAGCATTTCACACTGAAAGTCGCCATTAAATTTACCCAGAAGTCAAAGGGCTTGTTCGAATGAAGAGTAACACAACGCACAAGTTTGGTAACGCCAGGTGCGCTTCACGTTCCGGTGCAAAAGGAAACGAAAGCGTGGTCTCTGTCTCTCCCATATCACAGGTTCTGTCGAATGAAGTCTCCCTGTGAGATTTATCAGGATAAGAACTATTTCATCACACGTCCAAAGCTTCACCTGCGCACATGCACATCACATCCGCATCCTGGTAAGGAAAATTTCTTAGATATCTTGGGCACATTTTATTTTTAACCTCAAATTCTGCAGCAAACTGGAATAAAAGATCACTTAGCAACTCTCATTAACAATATTTTCTTTAATTCCCTTGAGCGCTTTTCCATAAGTTGAAATTTATGTTATGATCTCTCTCACCATCTACCAAGTTTTCTCATTGTAAGTAGACCACCTTCTCTACCGGCGAACGTCAAGGTTTTCAGGCGAGATTACTAAAATTTTGATAAGCACTGAACGCTCAAGTTCTTTATTTAAAGACTTGAATGTTATCAAGCTGTGTAATATCATTACCCTTCAACTTGCAATGTTTATGTTTAAGTTCCATTATCAACTTTTACCTTCGGTCTTTAATAATTTTTTAATCCTGTTAGGAAAATACATAGAAATAACACTTGGTTGTCCCCCAGGGCTCACTTGTATAAAGGGTGGATAACGCTATCCAACGGTTATATCGCTAAGTGATAAGTGATAGCAAAACGTATAGCTTTATTCAGAGGATAGAGATTTATCCAGAGGATAGCGTTATCCGATCTTAGAACAACTGGAGCCAGGATGACTTATGCTATCCCAAAAGCCAGAACAAATTATGGAATTTTTAACATAAGGTTCCAGGGAGCTAAACTTTGAAAAGATATGTGATGAAATAAAGCTCCTTTCTCTTAAACGTTTAAAGAAAAAGTGTAAGTCAATTCTTATTGCTAAATATTAATTGCAGATTTACCGAAGCTATATTTTTTCTGGCTTTCCGTTGTTACATGCTGGTATACTTAGCTTTCTTTTGTAGTCTTTTTTTTTTCTGCTAGCTTTTTTCTTCTTTCCTTTTTGTGTTTTGTGTAGTGTGTGCGCGTGTGTGGTACCTGACCCTTTAATGTAATAATTTATTAATAACCTAAGTAAGGCTACCTTATCTTTTTAGCCCTCAACGGTTATTATTGGCAGCCTGGACTCACTCCATTTTTCATGTAATATATATATATATTTATTTATTTAATTTTTTGTAGCATATAATTAATGTAGGGTACGAATAAAGTTATTGTAAAAGTTGTTGTCTTGAAAAACTAACAAAAATGTACAGCAAATTCTGGCACAGTGTCGATACGTGCAGCTAATAATCAGGATGGGCTCAATCCCTCCTTGAAAGTGTCTTCCATTGTGGCCCGTTCTATTGGCTGTAGAGGACTACAATCTATACGAATGACCTGTTAACCATGCCGCCGTGAATATTTTTGGCACTTGGTTACTGAGCATCAGGGACGAATATTTTCACTTTGACACAGCAGATTTTTACATTGTTTTTGGTTTGTGTTTCACGATGAAGTATAAATTATCTCAGGACAGCATCTTGTTAAACGAACGAAAACAAAAAACAAACAGAGAAAGAACAGGAGACCCTTTGTGTGAGTCATGCCCAGGACTCAGTTGTTCTAAGGGCGGATAACGCTATCCAACGGATAAATCGCTATCCAGCGGATAATTGTTAATAAAATGTACTGCGTTATTCAACGATTAGAGATTTGTCCAGTGGATGGCATTATCCACCCTTCGAAAAACTGGAGCCAGATGGTAATTAACTGGCGCCATTTCTATTAATGACGTCATATTGTTAACTTCTAATTAACTCGTCGTTCAAAGTTGCGCGCTGCTACATAAGAGTAAGGCTGAGAATTTCCGGAACATGGTCACATGAATGGACTGATAAAGGCATGGCAGGGAGCATGAACCATCACTATTTTCAATATCAGTGACTAAACGGTAACAATGACGAAATCCAACATCACCTTAGTGAAGAAAAATGATTCGTGGCTGCCTAAGAAAGAGCAGCAGTTGACAGCCATCGAGAAACATGGTTATACTCTCCTAAAAACCTTGGGGGAAGGCGCGTACGCCAAAGTTAAGCTCGCCGACTCTAAAAAACACAACAAAAAAGTAGCAGTTAAAACGATAAACAAAAGGAGAGCACCTAAGGACTTCCTCAAAAAGTTTCTGCCTAGAGAGGTTCATCTGATGCACAGACTCAATCATCCAAACTTGGTAAGAGAAGTTTCATTTCAGTTGAGACTCGATGACAAAGCGAAGAGATCTCACATTTATTCCTGATAATTTTCTTTTGGCTAAAGTCATCCTCAAAGTGTGAGTACTTTATAACAGAACGCCGATCGTAACCGAGACGTAGGAATATTTCCGATGACGTTCCGAAAATATTCCGAAGGTGGCTAGAGAAGTGAAACAGACGTTTTCTCACGTCCTAAAAGGAAGGTTTTATGAGCAATTTTTTGCCCATGCCTAGGTTCTCCCGTATTCATCACAGTTTTTATTAGCGCTTATCATTATTCAAGTATATGCCAGTGAAAGCTGAGCTGTGATAGTTCGAATTTTCTGTTTGGTATAAGAGATTGGGGTCGACAGATGCGAGTTGGCTCGCGCACGTAATCCAGGTTCTCGATCCGTGGGCATAACAGTTGATTTGAATGTACATTGGTATCCTTGAAATTGCTCACGTGGCTCTGAACCTCGTAAAAGCTTTGCGAAAGCGAAAACTGATCCCCTGCTCCTCTTCAGAACCATGACTACTTATTACTCAAATTCGTTCTTTATAGAGATGTTAGCCTGCAGTGCAGGCGTCTTATAAGGACGAGTCAGCGTTAATCTAAGAAGCTCGCAATCGTTTATTCAACTGGCCATGTTTGACTTGGAGATAGAGGTGGTGGGGGAGGGGGCGGGGAAAGGCGAATCTTTCTTATTTTTGACCGTCCACCGTCCCATTAGTACAAATTTCTTTCTCTTCACAGCCCTCTGCTGCTATTAAAATAAAAGATAGCGGTCATAATTTTTGCTAAGAAAATATTGAGCACTCGCTCGCCAAAGTTGCGCCTGCTCTGCAGGCTATAGGGATGTTGTTGAGACAAAGTTTTTGGTGCAAACTCTGTATTTATGCAGATCCGGCTGTACGAAGTTGTGGAAACTTCCACTAAGGTGTATCTTGTTCTACAATTGGCTTCTGGAGGCGACTTATTGGAATACATAAACGCAAGAACCGTGCTACCTGAAGAGGAGGTACGCAAGCTGTTTTGTCAGTTTGCCGCTGCCATGACGTACTGCCACAAGGAAAACGTGGTACATAGAGACCTGAAATGTGAAAACATATTGATAGCTGGGGACGGAAAGTTAAAAGTAACAGGTAGCTATCTTGAAAAATTATAGTTTAAGAAGATGCGTTGGCTAAAAAAACGCACTGAGCAGTTCAATTAGACAAATCATCTGTATAAAATAATAGTGAAAACGAGTGTTGAAGACGGGTAATAATATATCCTATTAGATAATGAACGCTCGATTTTTATGCGTGATTGTTTTCGAGGGCTTCGCCTTCATCAAACATCGAGCGATAGAAATCTCACGCTCATGATCTAACTGTTAATTATTAGTGACAACGACATTTCCAAATTGTTAGAAGGGTGTACCAACGCCGTAAAAATTTAAACACGTTAGATTTTTGAAAGCTTGTCTGAATTAGAAAAGGGAATCGAATTCCTCATGCCAGGAATAATTTCAATCAACAATTTTGTAGAAAATCTCCTTCGTTTTTAAATTTCAAGTAACAATTTTTCTCTTCCTCTCGTTTGATTTTTTGTTGTTGTTGTTTTCAGCGCGGCGCGCGTGATTTCACATATTAGCCAACACGTCAAAGAACTCTAACCTTGACATTAGAAAACTGACGTGGACATTTTTCGCGTACTTTTAGTTTTTTTTCGCGAGTTTTAGTTTGTTATTTTTGAGCTTTCGTTCTCGTATATTTGTTACCCCTTTACTTGGAGATTCAATAAGTTTCGGGGTTTTTATTTTAGCCAAATGTTGGGGTTCATTTAACACGTTCAATACATGTTTTCTACGGAGTTTAGACTCCAGCCTCCTTTGTCGTAAATGTTTTTTTTTTATAAATTTGTTCCCTAATCATGTAATGAATAAAGCCACGCAGACATGTCGCGAGAATGAAGAGTTAAAATAAAGGCAATTCCTCATTAGTACCTTCACTAGGTGATCCGCTTCTTTATTTCAGATTTTGGTTTTGCCGTGGGCACGGTGAAAGATCGTCCTTTAGAAACCTACTGTGGTTCCTTCGCCTATTGTTGTCCTCAAATCCTTCGAGGCAGGCCGTACGACGGTAAAAAAGCCGACGTGTGGAGCATGGGTGTTGTACTGTATGCAATGGGCTGTGCGAGACTTCCCTTTAGTGAAAATGATATGAGAAATTTAATAAAGGATGACTACACCAACAAAATCAAGTTTTCGAAAAGAGTTAGTAAAGGTATGGTAGTGATTTTGACTGAAAACGTTCGAGCAATTTTCAAATGGAAAGCGAAAGTACTGTGTACTGTGCACTGTATACTAAACTCACTTAACAAGGTTTTGCAACTGGTGTAACAACTTCGAACCAGTTTCTAAACCAAAAAGATAGAGTGACTGGTCGAGAGAGTGGGTGAGTTTTCTGGACGAATCGGATAGCGGAGCAGAGCATAAACAAAGCAATCGCGGATTTCTTTCGACGCTGAATTTAAAATTGCTCTACTTGTTGGTTTTATGCCGCTTAAAAAAAATGGGAGGTACTTTGGTGAAGTAAGCCCTGTCCTACAATGCGAGAAATCCTCCACTTAGCGATGCACTTTTATACGTTCTCCTCCACTATCCTCCTCCTCTATCTATTTTCTCATTGAATAAGTCACCACGAGAAATACCATTAT